TGAGGAGGGAGGAGAGGGGAGGAGGCACAAACGGGAAAAGGTCATAAGGGATGAGAGAAAAGGAACGCATGTCAGGGACGAATGATGACAACACTGGGGGGAGAAGCAAACAAAGCACTGAACTCTACCTTCCGTTTCCCCCTTGTCCTGAGGGTGTGTGAAAAGAGTCAGGGGACAGACAGGGACAAAGAAGAGGGATAGATGAAAAAGAGCAAAAACAGGGCAACATTAGAAGAGCTTGGAGAGGGAAATGTTGGTAAAAGTAAATGTATTAAGAAGTCCTGCTGGTAATCTATTCAGTGCATTCTAGACACAGGGGTCGACACTCTTGTAACACAGAAGACACAGCAAGGAACTGTGGAGCCCTGCAGCAGAGCTCAGCAAGACGCTCTGTGGTCCGCAACTCAAAACACTACGCCTTACTCTCTCTTTCAGTGCCCAGTGCACAGACTCCGCATCTGCTACCAGGTCTGGTCCCCTGGCACATGACGCATGCCTCTAGCACTGAAACAACGAAGGCACTTTGATTTACGCTTTAATTTAAGATTCAGTAGAAATAACCCGTCAAGGCATTTTGCTGATCACTGCTGTCTCTGATGATTCATACACTTGCCACTGTACTGAGTGAGGTGAAGCCAGGAAGGAAGGAAAGAAAATCCGTTTTCAGATCCTGTTTCTATGAAAATGAGAACAAAATGCTTGGCGATGGATTGCTTGTATTGTGCTAAGGGATCAAGCTAGACCTTGAGGTCTCGATAACTAGCGTACTAGAGACTTTTTGGATGCCTCTCTCATTTGTTTATTCAGGGAGCCACATATTTTCCAAGATTTGAGAGGGGAAAAAAAGAACTAGCACAATTGGTCCTGCCAGTCTCTTTGCTTCACGTTAATGGGCACCAATATTTCTGCAAAATAATACTTAGGCTAGTATATTAAATATATTAGGAATAATGAGAGTCATGCTCTTATTCATCTTGACAACAATATCATTCTAAATGTTTTAATTGTATATATTCTGCAGACCAAATTTAACAAGTCCAAAGTGGAATATAGTCATACAGGAGGCTGGGGTGCACAATCACTACTCTGAGAAGTTCCACAGGATCTCTAATGATCAAATATGACCTCGGTTTAACATCTCATCCAAAGGATGACACCCCCTACAGCACAGTGTCCCCAGTCAATGTAGTGGATAACTAGTTCAAAGTTTTTTTCCAGTGGGAAGAGCACCGCCTACTGGTCCACCAAACCTGGTTTCACTTGGTTCCAGCTTTACTTCCAGTTTTACTTCACTTCTAGCCTTGTTGAATGGCATTCCTTAAAATCTCTTTAAATCAATGAAACTGAATATACTTAGCAGTTGGTCAGGGATCATAAACACCTAAAATGAGCTACCTTGACCCGTCAATGTCATGATGAACCTGTACATGAATTTACAAAGTGCCCATTATGTTTTGAGATTCATGACCATGTCGCAGTTTTTTTCTATGCTATGCCTTGCTACAGCACTTTTAGAATATTTACCATTTGAGAAAAAAACTACTGAGCTGAAAAATTTCCCTCAAGTTTTGTGTTCATTGACTAATAAGAACTAAAATGCGATACAATTGCTGAGAATCACAGTTTCCATTTTCATCCCAGTGCTGCCCTGTGAGAGGAAATCAACCCAGAAGTCGCAGTGAATATTTCTACTCATGCTTTTAAATCTAATAAGGCATCCTGGAACACACTTTCTCCGGCCCACTAAGGAAGACTAATTGGAATGCGGTGGGTGTGCACCACAATGTGCGTCAGGGGAAAGAGGAGAGGAGCTGAGACTCAAGCAGAGCTAAGCATCAGGCTGAATGAAGAGGTGGGAGGTGGGTCTTTTTTTGATAAAAGCAAGTGGCCAAGGGAGGGCCAAATAATTCAGTGAGTTATTGCCAAGAAACACCAGCAATGAACACACACACTGCACTGTTTAAATATAGTTCTCTAAGGTCTTCATTAGGAAACATGAACAGGCCTCAAATATTTATCAAAATATCCTACATGTATTAATATGTGAAAGCCTGCTATTATTTACTTAAAATCTCTCCTAAAACATCAAGATCCCCACTAAAGCACGAGCTGCCTTATGATGATTAAAAATACCCATTTAAAAATGAACTGTTTTACACGTCATAGAAATCCTAGTTTATTTTGCTCCAGCTTACAACATTAGTGGTAGCCATGGAGACAGTCTCTTAATGTCACTTTTCTCATTTGAGAAATCAGAGGGGAGGTGCAGTTTAAGAACATAACATAGCCATTTTGCTGTGCTCTTACAAAATTTAAAGTATAACATTCAGATTGCATATCAACAAAAAAGGATTTAGCAAATATCCCAATATTAAGAGATCACTCTCAATTACAGAATCATTTGATAACACTTGGAATAAGACATTCTACAGTAATTTTGGCATTATGAACACATGAATCTTTTTATTACTGTTACACGGAAGCTCAGAAGGTGATTGAAAATGTAGGATTTGGTTTAAAACAATTTAAATTGGCCGTCTTATGTGGCATTAGATGTCAAACATTAGAATGAACGAGACAAACAAAAGAACAAGCAGAGGAGGACAGTTTACTCCTAAAGAACGTGGTCAGCTTTCTTCCCAATAACTGGATTCCTCCTTTTAAGCTTGGGTGTTGGGGAAACAGTGGCTATGCAAGGAAATATAGAAAAAAAACCTTTCATCTGCCTTTTCTCCCTCACTGTACAGGTCTATTGCCATTATAAAAGTCCTGTACACATCAGAATTCTCACAGATATTTAAATATTCAAGTTCAACATTGCTGAACTGAAAGCTTTTATGTTTCAATTCAAAAATTCCCAGAGCACATGTATGTCCCCTTCATGTGCACATTTTTCTGTGTGTCTTTGAAATGTCTTTCTTGGGGGATTTTAAAGCAGAGGGAAGAGCGCTAATGGTCCCTTCAGGGAATTGTTGAAATAGATGTGGAATGGCTGCTAGGACTGAACTGGAGATAAAAAGATTTTCTAATTAAAGACAGAGAGGTCATTAACCCTGCTTGGCTTTTTCAAAGCACAATACTAGAGGTAGAGTATTATTTTTTCAAATGGCAATTATCTAACAGGAAGCAGAGAGAGATAAATCACAACACTTACGAGTCCTGTAGAGGCTGGAACTGAGGATTTATTTGTGTGAGGTGGTAAACAGTGTTATGTTATATTTAAGTCAGCCTTTCCTATAGGTAAACATTTAGTGTAACCGTGATATCCCAACTTAATTTTTGCATAGTAAGGAAAAATATACACCCCATTACAGACATGCCTAATTAAAATGCACAGACATACCTAAAATGGTTATGGGTATAGGGTCCACTCAAAACAGAACCAACTGTAATCAACACAAAGCTTTAAATATCAATAAATATAACATGTGGGAAACTAATAGAAATGAAGGCTACAGGTATAGTTGCTGTAAGAATGTGAAGGTTCTGACTGATCAGAAACAATTCATTCATGTTTTGATAACAACAATGCAATTTTTCAACACAGGTTCAGAAGGGATCCTCATTGAGAGTACAGATGCTTGGGAAAAATGGCTGGGATCTATCCAGCTGATACTATACATGCGCACTGAAATGCATGAAGATTCCGCACAGAGACTGAAACATGATATCCTAATGGGAGTTTTAGTGATAGCGTTGTTTCCAGGCTATCCCACAAATTATTCATCCGTGCTCGTTTGTCTTCTGTTTTATTTAGCACGATGCTTGCAGCAATGAAAACGATAAATAAATGATATCAATAGCAGGGAGACCATCTGAAATGCATATCCATGCCCAATTCCATTAGCCCCCTTTTCTGCACTTTTCCAGCGAACCGTCACTCACTGCATCTGCGTTTATCTCCCCAGGGTACGAGGAAACGGCCTCAGCATTTTCTTACATCAACTTGCGCAAAACTTTAATTCCGGGGACCGGCAAGGCGTGAAATTAGAGGCAGAATGCTACTGGTGTATTTTATGTCTTTCTCTTTGTGTTTGACTTCTAATTTCTATTTTTTTTGTTCAATTTTGTAAATTAAAAAAAACTAAACACAGAGCCCAGAAGATTCAGAGAGTATTCTAGTCACTTGGATTAAGAATCTCAACACATGTGGTGTCTGTTTTCCTAAAATGTGAAAGAGGTTTTTTTTAATGGTATCAAACAACTACGTCTGCTGATGCTGCTTCGGGTTACCACTCTGTGCAGAACACTGATAGAAATCTCCACATGCTGCTACTGTACCTTATTTTAAGATATTGGTCAGATGATTACAGCTATTATTTGTTAACCAGATATAGGTTTAGATTAATTTTCTAAAGACAAAACTTAATAAAAGGAAAAGTAACCCTTACATTGTAATAATGCCTTCATCAGACTACTTTTAAAAGAAAAAAAATATATGCCAAATGAATTTTTCCTCATTTCAGTGACTTCAGGGTTCAGTTGTTCAAGTTTTGTCAAACCCATTTTGAAAGCAAAATCTTCATTTAGGCACCACAGCTGTCTCCGATTGACACTGGGGGACGGCAACTTTCAGTGTAATAAAGATACAGAACCAACAGCCTAAAACAGAAATTTGGTGAAATATATTTTATTGCTTTGCAGTTAAGTATAAATAACTGAATGGATTATGGATTATGACCCAGATCATGAAAATTGTACCTATAATCCTTCTTTGTAAAGGGGTACAATTGTTGTTTTCATTTGATTCTTCACAAGTAACAAAGCAGAAACAGCTTGAGGTGGAAGTGTAAGGATATAGACCAAGCACTTGCTAATAATCACACTTCATACCGTGAAACAAGTAAGAGTGTTATAAGAGGAACAGTCATGGGATGGGTATGGCACTGGTACTACTGCATTCTGTATTCAGTAATGGCTGCCCCACTGTCCAGATGAGACTTACACCACACAGCATGTGCACAAGTAGCCAAAAAGCTGTTCTTTCTCAGGTTCCTGACCTTGAGTTTGTGCTCGTGTTCCTTGTTGACCCGAGACAGCAGCTGGGCTTTCCTCCTGTTCAGTGCGTCGATGAGAGCATCACACTGTGCCACCAGGCAGGCCTCAAACTCCACCCCATTCTCCTGTGGATACATAAGATATAACTATAACACGCTAGAACAATGCCAGCTCTGAGCCAAATAGTGCAGGCCCCAAGGCTTGAGAGAACCACCACAGACAAACACAGAGACGTACTTCCTGAGAACAGCCTGTTGATCTGCAGTGATGTTGTATGAGAAGCCCAAGGCCTGCAATTGTGAATTGGGCTAAATGAAGAGCGACACCAGGGCTACAGACAGTGCAGGAAGGAAGGCCTGAAACTGTCTTCTTACCCTTAATAGAATCCTAGCTTTATTTCAATCTTATAGAAGACCTTTTATTAAGAAGCCCTGCAAATGCAATCTATAAAGTCTATTTTTAGAGGATTGTGAATTCTATTACCAGCAGCTACTGCTGTAAATTACAGATTCTATACTTATGTGTACAGTACAGTATGTGAGCCTCTCAGGGGTACTGCAAAATGGTTTGCTGCAAGTACCTGATCAGCAGCGTGATAGAACTGTGTTTCAGGGGAGTCGAAGGGGTTTTCTTGAATGCACAAAGACTGGATGCATGCTGATAGAAACTACTGTAGGTGGTGGAGGACACAGGGTACATTTATTACGGAGTACAGACACTAGACTAATTTGGAAAGGGCAGAAAACACCTTGCTTTCATGAGAATCCCAAGAAATCAAAGAAAACAGAAAAACAGAAATCACTTAAAACATTCAGTCTCTAGGGACTATAGCGACCATAAATCCGACCTTGCCAATTTTCAGTCTAATGACGCTAGAGTCTAGTGATGTTTAGAATCACAAACAAAGCTATTAAGGTAGCTAAATGTATCCAAAATGTTCAAGATGGACTTGAGGATAAAATATTAATGTATAAACATGCCTTCAAATACCTAAATAGGATTTTAAAATTGTTCTGCTATCTCTATGTACAGGATGGCACACAACTGTTGGTGTTTTTATTTAATTGATATATTTTTGCTTTAAGACGTCTTCACAAAAATGTGTTGTATCTTATGAAAACAATACCGTGATACCAGTATTTCTGCGTTTGGATAGTATATGTTTGCAGTATTCAACGGCATGGAGGGCATCCTTATTTTGAGAAGTAGGAAATGCTGTGAAAGTGAGCGAGTCTGTGGTGCTTCTCCCTCTGTTCTCCTCCCTCTCAGGGCCTCACCTGCAATGCTCCCCAACCTGATGTCACTAAGGGCGTCTCTGGGGCATCTGCAGGCTGCACGACAAGAACACCATGGCAACACAATCACATGTGGCGGCCTGCACTCTGGTGGGTGTAACTGTGTACACATCTCTGCGTGTCAGCGTGGTGGAAAACAAAACGAATGCTCTTCTGCTAAAATGTGAAATACCCTGTCCACAGGGTCGACGAGCTGTCATCTGATAAATCGCTAGGGCTGAAGCCTGTGCACCTAACTGGACCACTGAACAATTCCTTTATCTGTCTGGTCAAAGTTCAGTCACCCAGGAAAAACAGACCAGTTACATGGGCCAGTTGGAAACATTTTCAGATATAATCAACTATATATAGTTCTCATCTAAATATACTTAGAAAAGCAAGTCCTGCTTTGTAAAAGACAATCATTTTGACTATTAAAAGATTAAAGACTAGCTGGTTATCAGTGGCATGTATACATGAAAGCAGACACTAATAAT